GCGTTCGGAAGACAAACACACTGATCCTTCTAAAACCTTTTGCACAAAGCAACAATTATTCAATGCGATTTAAAAATCTGGGAGAAAATGGCTCTCAATTGAATGATTCTTGCGATTTTATATGTGTATAAATCTCCATTACCTTATAATAAGTGGTTCCAGAGATAACCGATATGAGAATTTCAGTTCGTATGGGCGATGCCACGCCCCATTTTCCAAATTTATTGACAACACATGTTGCTGTGTCCAATTTCAGGGCGTTAGCATAAGTGGTTCCAGAGATAAGCGATATGAGAACTTCAGTTTGTATGGGAAGTGCCACGCCCACTTTCCCAGTACCTACCATTTTTCACCGTAAGTAGGGCATATACAATCTATGCATATGTGCTAAGTTTGAGTTCCCCAGCATAATTCGTTTTAGAGATATAGTGGTTTTCCCATTTTAGTCTATATGTCAGATGTCACGCTCCCTATGTATCGGGATTAACATTTCTAGATTAGATGAAGTTATATCCTTTAAATCGGTGGATGTTTCATTGAAATCGAGTGAACAGTGCCTTCAAAAAAGGGATTGCAAAATTTTCTTGTGGCGTATTTATATATAGATAACATTAGCACACACCGTCTAAAAGTGGAGTATGTATACATATATAATGTTAAAAAATAAATTTGGTTTTTTAGACTTAAATTCACGAAATGAATGTGTGCTAATGTCATCAAAAATATTACTAACCATCAAAACCTACAGAAAAAAAAGACATCAACAATAATAGGCATTTATTATTTCAGTACCAGGATGACCGAGTTTTGTTTGGAAAGCATACACTTTTTAAACTTTTCAAGATTTGGGTATCAAACAATGGTAAATTTAAAAAAGTTTTTAATGTTATTTTGTAAATGGAATTTTTTGAGTTAACATTACGCCTATCCCAAACCTCTTTCCATACAAATTATGTATGCCGATAAAAAAATATTATCAATGCGTTAATATTTTAGCCCACGTGAGAGAAACTTAAAAAAAAAACTTTGAAAAAATATTGTTAATTAACAACAACATTTTTGCCGAGTCAGTATCTCAGAATGTTTTTAAAACAAATTAAAAATTTTTACTTCTAGAATCTAATAATTTATAAAAATATTTGATATCAAAAACTAGGTGGCAACCCTACAAAAAAATATACCGAAGAGTACATATTTTGAGTGCAAATTTACTGCGTATACATACAGTATCGGTCATATCTATAGCACGCCATTTTAAAGTGATATTGTGTGCCACTTATGTTTCTTTATTTATTTTTAAGAATTTTCAATTAAAATA